TGGTGCAGAGGTTAGAGATGGTGGGATTGTGATTGGAAGGTCACCAGTTCGACTCCCCGGATTGACATCAAAATGTGGGTGGAAAAGGTGAAGCACGCACACCTGCCTCCACACTTATGTGCCCCACTCTGGGCCCTTGAGCAAGGCCCTTAACCCCCACCATCTGCTCCCACAGGTCTCTCTTGAAAAGGAGTCCTCATGACTCAATGAAACTACATGTATAAATAAACGTTAAATAAATAAAAGGAGTATTAAACGATACGGTTGAAAAAAAAAAAGCTTAACATTTTGAATTTTCTAAACAAATGTAAATATTTTGAAGCGGTTTTCATTCCTTTGAATTCCTTTCCTTCAGCAGTTTAATACAGGAGCTGATCTTTATGGACTTCCATAAAGGATTTTCTTCAAGGAGTTTAGTATAAAGGAAAACAGCTGAAGCTTTTAATTTTTATTTACTGCAGTTAAACTACAAGCTCTGAAATAGTAATGCTTCATATTGAGCTGTTCAATTTTCTGTAGATTCAAAAATCTATATAATAAGAGAAAACAGTATACCGTGCTTGCCACCCTGCTCATCGCACCACCATATAAGTCACATTAGTCCAAAAATGTCTAATAAAGTTGAAAGAAACACAAGTCGCTTTGCCGTATAAGTCACATCTATTATGCGTCACCACTGATGCGTCACATTTGTTATGAGTCAACCCGGAAATGTGGGCCGGTGTTGTGCCAAAAATCAATTGGCTGCCAAATGGTGGCCGTGAGAGCATGCACGGGAGGACTTTAACAAGAATTTAACAAGATTAACGCTTAAAAACAATTATTTGTTTGCTCAACAAGATAGCAAAGGTTTTTGTCAGTTTAACGTTTCCTTAATAACTGTGATTAACTGCATTTCAAAACTTGATTTGTGGCTGCTGGAGCGTGCAGAGGCACGACTCGCTGTGCATTTTTTCAAAATTTAACAAGATAACAACCTAAAAACAATTATTTCTTTGCTCAACATTATAGTAAAGGTGTGTCTCAGTTGAACTTTTCCTTAATAAATGCACTTTAACAGTCAAATCATCTGCATTTCGCCTGGGCGGCACGGCAAAATGCAGATGATTTGATGTTTGCGTCAGGAGTTTTGGAGCGAGATGAAGGTGACTTTGTATGGCAAGCTAAGCGTCTCATAAGTAGCCACTTTTACCTATTAATGCAAAACTTTGCTTGCCATTTTAGTCGACTGCCCCTAGTGGCTGAAAATGGTAATGTTCAATATTTTCCGTGTCAGAATGAATGAATGAAACTCAGATCTCAGTCAAAAATTGAGTTATAAATATGGGGAGAAAAAAATGTATATTAGTCGCTTCGGTGTATAAGTCACAGGACTTGCAAATTTATGCAAAATGGTGCAACTTATACGGTGAAAAATACAAAATCTAAGAGGACAGAACTGATAAAGGCTAATGTTTCCAAAGCCCGTCTCAAATTATTCGATTCAATTTGGACTTCATTCAGCACAATAATTTTTCCAGTTCAGGAGTTGCAAATTTTGTCTTGCATTTCAGTAAGTTACAACGCACTTGGAAGTGATACTTCTAAAGCTGCTGGTGGTAATCCTAGGTATAGCTTAAGAGATCTTCTCAAGCGGATCCCAGCATTCCCTCGTTTACGACTCAATCCTATTGGCACAGGTGTTTTCTTATGCAAAAGGTGGATTCATCTTTTTCAGGATGAAATACATTTTTCTGTTCCCATATTCAGATGAGTCATCCTTTGAGCTTTGATGTCAGGAGCACCTCGTTAGTCTTCTTGTCACTTTTTTCACAGCTGAAAAATACCTTTTGAGTTTGAGAGCTCTTCAGTTAGGCATCGGCTCGAGCAAATCTGTCCATTTTGGTTTGAAAACTTTGAGCAAGCAAAACAAATTATTTTCAATCCTTCAAAAGTTTCTTCACAAATGGGAAAGATACGGTTTGATGCGAGTTATATAATGTTTGTATTGAAACATCACATGCTGAGGAAGGATGGAGTTGTAGCCATTTTGGTCAAACCTTGAAAATGAAATGTGCAAAAAGCAGGCGATGACAATAGATGGATAGATTTATTTAATATAGAAGTCACTTTAGATTATATGTTGTGAATGAATCTCAACTATTAGCACATCAAATTAGAGCTCACTTTTTATGAAATTGACTGTTAGTCATTTTTTTGTTTGCTAATATTGATTAGCTAGGGCAGCCATCTTGCATTGGAAGAATTTTACATGATAATCAGTTTTATTTTTTTTTTTACTTTTATTTTACCAGGAAATAAATCCATTGAGATTATTAATCTCTTTTACAAGGATGTCCTGGGAAAGGATGAGAAAAAAAACTTATAGATGCACATGCAAATATTACCTTCTAAATGTTTCAGCACAATCTCTTATTTCATAACGTTTTGCTTACAGACAGCTATCTGATAAGAAATAAAAAATCATTGACTCATTAAAATTAAATAAAAATGCTTATAATACTTAACTGAGCATCAAAAATGTTTGTGCTGCTGTTGTTGTTACGCCGTATTGTTTTGCATTGTTAGCGTTTAGCTAATTTGAAGCATCTTAGATCTTTTAACATACGTTTGGCGTTCGTTTAGCATATATATTAGTGTATACCATATTTTTCTGACTATAAAGTGCACTTAAAATCCTTTAATTTTCTCAAAAATCAACAGTGAGACTTTTTTTTTTCATTGACCTATTATACAGGTAGTCTCAATGAGCCATGAGAACTAATTTTCAAGAAAGACCTGTTTTGGGGAGCAAATGGTGGGGGTGTTAAGGGCCTTGCTCAAGGGCCCAGAGTGGGGTAAATGAGGGTGGAGGCAGATGTGTGTGTGTTTCACTTTTTCCACCCACATTTTAATATCATCTGTCTGGGGAGTTGAATCTGTGACTTTCCGATCACAGGCCCATCTTCTGCAACCTCTGCGCCACCACTCTCCTTATAATTCGGTGCGCCTTATGTATTAATTCTGGTTGTACTTATTGACTTTAAACCGATTTTACGTGGTACACGGCGCTCACAAATCTGTCAAAAAGTTTTAGTTTTGCTTAATGTGTCTTATAATCCGGTGCGCCTTATAGTCCGAAAAATATGGTATCTTAGATCCTTATTTACCGTTTCTTTTTACACTTTATATTTTTGCTGTTGTTGGGTGTAACTGTGCTCGAGCATCAATGTGTGGCATGGAGGCTGCACAGCTGCAGAAAGAAAAGCTTTGCAGAGAGTGGAGAAGGCTGCACAGAAATCTGTTGGAATCAGTCTCCCCACCATCACAGACATCTACACCTCCAGATGCAGGAAGAGGGCCACCTGCATCATGAAGGACCCCACCCACCCAGCACACACACTTTTTGCCCCGCTCCCCTCAGGAAGGAGGTTAAGGAGCATTAAGTGTAGAACCACTAGACTGAGGAACAGCTTCTACCCTGAGGCTGTTAGACTCATGAATCTAACTAGAATAATCACTGTGAAAAACCATATCATGTTGCTGCTGATCTGTTTCATGTTGCTGCTGATCTGTTTCAATGTTGATGTGTTCATGCGTGCACATCTGCTCACAGACTCATGTTCATGTTTGTGCTGATGTTCAATGTTTTATGTTATGAGTGCTTAGTGTATATTTAGTTGATGTTTTTCTTAGTTCATATCTTAGATGTTATTACTGTTTTTATTATACATTTTATTGTCGGATGTAACTGGGACCCCGTGTACATAATTTCGCTCCACCACATGTACCACATGAGGTGCGAATGACAATAAAGAAACTCTGACTCTGACTCTGACTCTGAACTGGGGCCCTGTGTACATAATTTCGGTCCACCACACGTACCACATGTGGCAAGAATGACAATAAACCTACTTGAACTTGAACAAAACTATTTTTTATATGTTTCTAATTGGCTTCATAAATAAAAATCCAGGAGCATTTTGTGCATAGCTATTTTAGGCTGGGCTAGGCCTCCAAAAATGTCCAACTTATTAATGAAATATTAAACAGCATCTAAAGAAAAAAAATCTACAATTGGTGAAGTATACAAGCAAAAACAGGCTTTTCTCCAAAACCATTGGGACGTCACTAGCTTCATGTATTTTAGTTTGCGTACTTTAGCTACTCTGTAAAGATCCCATTCTAGATCCAGCGGAGGACAAAGTACAAAAATCCAAGGAGATTTTTTTTTCATTGTCTGGTTTGTCAGACTTTAATGAAGAACAACAGTTTTTTTTTTAGTTTTTTTTTATACATTAATCATGATTGTGAAGGATAATTGAACAGAAGAGAGAACACAAGCCATAAAATGGACACTGATTGAGGATTGCTATCTTTCTTCATGACTCCCTGGAGCAACATAACGGACTAAAAGAAAGAGGGAGGGATGGAAAATGGATTTGTTAAGTAATGCAAGCCTAAGCTGTAAACTGGTGGTGTTATGTCAAACTAAAGCATCCACATTTCATGGGTCAGTGCTAAAAATGGACCTCCAGGTAAACTGGCATAGGCTGTTGGGATTAATGCTTCTGTTGGAAAACTTTGATCTGATTGAATTAGTTAGTTGGCTTTAACATAGTTGTGTTTGTTTTAATAGGTTAATGTTAAAATAAATTAGAAATAATTTCAGCAAGTATTGGTGAGCTAGTAATTCCCTCAGATTTATTGTGTATGACTTACCAGGAGTTTATAGACATCTTTTTTACGTTTTGATGAAGGTTCAGTTCTGCGTACTTTACCATTGTGTCAACAGAGTATAGAAAAGAGTTTTCTAAGCAGCACCAATTTGTAGTTTAAGGTGCATAGCTGTGATATAATCAGTGTCTGTAAAACTGCCAGGTGGTGTGATTTTTACCTTGTATTTTCATCTTAAATTGGATACTGAACAGAAAGATGAAGTCAGACAGTACACAGTCCTCTCCACCTTGGCATTTAGAATTTCTTCTTGACATTTTACTTTTATGTTTGGATTATCTCAGGTGCAACGAAGGAAACAACCAGTCAGTTTCTTGGAATCCCGCAGAATCATCTCATTGCAACAGGCGAAGATTTCTTCCGCGAGACCTGCAGAATGACCTGGATTGTCCGTCGTCCCAGGATCTTCCACCTCCACCTCCCCCTTCTCCACTCCCTCATCCCCAAACTCTTCCAACAATAGATAAACACATGCCTGTAGTTACTACCTCTAACGGTCGCTCCGACCTGTTAGGATGGGGGTTGGGACAAGGACTGGGGCAAGGCCAGGGAGGATCTGGGCAGGGGGCAACACAGTGTCGAGGTTTGGGGATGGGCGACTGCGGTTTGAGCCAGGGTGGCCGAAATCCGTTGGTCCAGGAACTGTCAGAACTTGAGGGTCAAATACTAGCAATCAAGCAGCAGCTACAGTCAGCTATGAGAAGGAAAAGAGAGCTTGAACAGTACCAATCAGAAAACCAGCAATCAAACCAGACTGGACCCAGTCAGCCCACATCACACCAGTCTAATCAGTTTGTTCAGTATACCCAATCCCACCAGCAGACTAACCAACACACAAACACACTCCCAGACTTCTGAGGTTTGCCTTTTACTGTTTTGTCCTGAGGAATCATGTAAGAGACAGTGTTGGCGTTGGAACACAGCTTGCTGGTACCAAGATCCTTATTTAGGTTCAGGAGTTTCCCTAAATATTGGATTGAAATGTTCGCCACAGATCAGGTCCTGCTCTGTGACTTCAATTGGGACATCTTCTGACCTCTGGTATTGAGATGTAATTGGAATGGAAGTGCCGGATGAGAGTGGACTAGATATCTTGCTCCAGTTCTCTTCTGAAATATTTGCTAGCTTATATCGCTGAAGCTCTTTGCTTCCCCTCTCTTGCCTCAAAATTAATTTAACTATTTTCTGATGCCTTATATAATATTTTCATTTTTCTGTTTTTTTTCTGCTGACTACTTCCTTTTGGTCTTTATAGCGTTGGTCTGAGGTAAGCCTCATCTCTTCAGTGGTACTAATTTGCTTGCCGTGATAAGCTTGATCATTGGTCTCTTTGGTATTTAAGGTTAATAGACAAATTCACCTGGGTTTGGTGAGGCTCACCGAGTGCACAATGACTTGTGGTTGAACCCAGCCAGATCAGTCTATGTTCTTAAGTCTTGCTGAAACATTGTACCTTTCAGACATGTAACTGTTGGGAATTGGTTGGTGTTACCAATGATGATGTAATGTTTTACCCTTTAGCAGTCCATTCATTTAGTCTTTTTTTATTATTTCTTATACAAACATTTTAAATGGTAACTGGGCTGTTGTAGCAAGAAACTAAAAAAGTAAGATACCAATAAAAGCATTCACAAGGCACCACAATAAAATATGACATGGTTGGCATATTGTGGAGACACAACCTTACTTATGAGTCACTTTGTAATGTGCTGCACTTTACAGATGCACTGCTGGTTTATTGACAGAAATCATTATTAATCTTGTCAGAGTTTGAGTTATGGTCTACGGGTATTTCATTGTGCATTCAAAACAACAGACAAGATGATGTAGTAAAAATATCCTCTTGTTGTATTGTTGTTAGGAAACACTGAAGTACCATTAGGTTTTCTTGGTGCAAACCCAAAGGGAAATAATAAAATTGAAAAAAAAAAAAAAAAAGACTGGTCAGTCTCTGACATGCTACTTGAGGTGAAGAACATCTCCAAATGAAGACACAAAAATGGTTCTTCTGAGATGAGACCTCTTTTCTTGCAACTTTCCATTTTTGTTGGAAATATTATGTTATTAAAATGTATCTCACCTTTGGCTGAGTTGGATTTTTTCCCCTCCATCTTTTCAAAAATGTTCAGAATGTCTGTTTGAGAGACAATTGATATATTAAGAAAATAAAAACACAATTCTGCACTTTTTGAAAATTTCAATTATAAGCATAAGGAAGCATTTTTTGGGGGAGTGGTGGTGCGGAGATTAGAGGAGGCTAACTTGTGATTGAAAGGTTTGTTCAAATCACATGAATGTTACATAAAAAAAATGTGGGGGAGGTGAAGCACCCACACCTGCCTCACTATGGTCCTTGACTAGGGTTCGACCCTAGATGGAGGCCCTCTGCTCCACACTGGTGGGCTACAGTGTCTCTGTGGTCTGTGTTGCATCATGAAGGAACAATCACCAAATCTTCAAACGACTGCTCACTGTGGCAACCCCTGAAGAAGGGAGCTGCCGAAAGAATAAATAAAATTAAAAAATATAGGCATATACACTGCTTGGCCCAAAAAAAGCCGCCACCTGCATTTAACTAAGCAAATATGTACGAGCCTCCAATTGGATAATTACTGGATGAGTGATTATCTTTCAGCTGGCAAAAAAAAGTTATTTAACCCCAACTGGTGCAATGAGTTGCTTCTCATTTCTTAAACAACCACGTCGAAAGACACATCGCGTGGTTGTGGAAAAGATGTCAGTCTGTTTGAGAAGGATCAAATCATTGGCATCAAGCAGAGAAACATCCAAGGAGATTGCAGAAACTACTACAATTGGTTTAAGAACTGTCCAATGCATTATTAAAAACTGGGAAAGGGGAACTCAAGGGATTGGGACTGAACAGTTGTGTTGCCTTAGGAAAACCACTAATCAGAGAGGCTAAACAAACAAACAAACAAAAAAGGCTTCAATTTGCTAGGGAGCATAAAGATTGGACTCCGGAGCAATGGAAGAAGGTCATGTGGTCTGATGAGTCCAGATTTACCCTGTTCCAGAGTGATGGGCGCATCAGGGTAAGAAGAGAGGCAGGTGCCTAGTGACATTGCAGAAGCTTATTGAAACAATGTCACAGCAAATGCATGCCATGGTCAAAGCTAAAGGTGGTCCAACGAAATATTAGTGTGACTTTTTTTGGGGGTGGGGGGAGGGGGCAGGCAGTGTATTTTTGGATCTAAAATGGTTCAAACAAAAACTCATTTGATTTCTTTATTTCTTAATCATTAAACCTCAATAATAGTAAGTGCATACTCAATTATCTTAAATACGAAAAAATATGTTTTAAAACCTAAATATCACTTATTTTCAGTAACAGAGAAATTACTGCCAACTGACTTTGTTGAAACCCAAGGGTTAAGTTGTAAAATATTGTTTCTCACCTGTCTGTAACATCATTATTGGACAATCTGGGCACGTCCAGCTGTATTCAGGCATTATCTGTCTGTATTTTACATTTCCAAAATGCCCATTAACATTTACCTGCAGTAACAATTTTCAACACATTTTAATAAATTCCATTTCAACACACCCTGCAGATATAATACATATTCAAACCACTCAAAACTTTGCTCCCTACCCTGAAACAATATTTGTCTGGGTCACTCTTTTTAACTCACACTGCAAAAGGACCACAATTTGAACAAGAACGCATATTCAGAATTGTCAACATTTTCTGAGCACATGGCATCGTCAAAAGAACTGTGCATGCACACATACACACAGACGGCTCCTATCTATTTAGCCAGTGTGTCTGCAGGGTAAGCACAGGCTGTCACAGCTCAAATGAATACCTGACAGAGCAAAAGAGTGCACTGGCTCAGCCGTCAGCCTTCTTTGTGTCCCTGTGTGTGTATGCCTTGCTAAGCGGTAACAAATGTCATTGAAGTCGATGCAGCAGTAACAGGATGAATCAACAGAACACCTAAACGGAAAGTTGGATTTAGCATATCCATCAGCTTTATAGTCACGTCTTGGTGGTATGTGCAATTCTTCAGACATGAACTTCAAGCTTGAAACAAAATTAAATCGTATTCTTGTTGATTATATGAGGGTCTGCTTGAACAACTACAAACTCTTTTTTTCCTTTGAAAATCAATGCAGAATATAAAAAACACCAATCTCTGGACATTCCATCGAACACAAGGACGGAGACAATTTTCTTGTATTCTATCAAGGTACTACTACAAACGCTAAGAGGGACAGCACTTATCTTTGGCTATGTAATCTCTATGAAAAGTGGAAAGTACAGCACAAAATGAAATCACAAGACAGCACTTTGTTGCTACCGACTATTTAATTTTCTTGACCAACAAAGAAAAAAATATAGATATATTTAGCATTTCTGACGAAAAGCTTCTTTTGTTCGTAAAGTAAAGGACATAATCACAATGATCATGAGTAATATTTATAAAACATATCAACTTCTCTTTTCATGCTGGGCATATCTTCCAATAGGAAATGGAGTCACAACATTGCATCACAATCCACAGGTGGGTTGGGGAAAGGAAGGGCTGCCTTAAGGAGGAAAAGTGAATCAGGAGTCACTGGCCTTGTTGACATTGAAAATGCTGGCTTGGTCCCGTATTATTCTCATACATTCAGTTTCATTTTCTCCTTTCTAAAATATGAGAATGCATTTTATTGAAATTGTTTGGTTCTAAAAACCACTCCAGTGGAATATTTATGTACATCCGACACTTGCTAGCCCCACTGGACTTCTGCGTAGAGATAATGTTATCGGCATCAGAGTGAATAAGGAAACTGGGGTGAAAGACACTTATAGCAAACATCTCAACTATTGACATTACCAAATATTTGATCTGATAAAGCCAAATTCCATTTTTTGTCTCAAAGGGTGCCATCGACTCGTTCTCGCGTTTCCTCCAAAGGGTAGAAGAGTTCCTTCCCAAAACACCTAAACTGATACTAGAACATATTCAGGTTTACAGCAGGCAAACAGGTCCAAATGGATCATAGTAGTCATACAGATTAACAAAAATCCTTAAAAAATAAGACCTCATAATGGTCAATTAATGTACAGAGAGATAATAAAAAGAAGGTTTCTGTCTTTTTTTTTTTCCTGTACAAATGACAAACACCACAGAACAACAACATCAACTTCTTTTTTTCCAGAGTTTTTAAGACCGAGTGGAATGGATGTGGTGATCGACGAGGTATGTTACCTGACAGGATGTGATGTAAAACAGTGAGTCAACTGATGGGAAGTGTGCAGGTTTAACTTTGTCAGGAGAGGCGACACCACTCGCTCATACAAAATGTACAAAACACCATCCTCTAACTACAAATGGCACACCTTGGAGGACAAAAATGTGCCATGTCTTAAAGAAATTTCAAAGTCCTGGAAAAACGACCTGTGCTTACAGCAAGTTGGCTTTGTGATACTTTTGCATTGGTCTGATCTGTGCATCTTGGCTGGTTAAATAGAGCGTGGCCAAGCTAAATGAAAACCGCAACAAACATGGAGTTTTCTGTCCCCCAGGTGATTTTAACAGATAAATCAGGAGTGGGTTTTTTGTAAGCATTCGGCGTCACGTGGCATGCGTCCTCGTCATTGTGTCTGGAAGTGCTGTGGAGACGCAAACGTGACCCGGTGCTGCCCCCTTAGTCATGTGACCTCCGTCATGGATGCCGAGTGGTTCTGAAAATGCATTTTAAGGAGGAATAGAGAAGGGAGTTTATGATTTAGGAGAGGTAAAGAATATGGGGAAGGTGTGGAAGTGAAAGGAAAAGAGGACAATTTCAACTGGTGCAACAAGTGCTCTGGTTAAGTCTATGTGCATCTGAGCAGTTGAACACAAAGGAAGTGCAAATTTCATGCTTGACATGTTATTGCTTCATTTTGATAGGAAGGAAGAAAGAAAGTAAAGAAAGAACAAAGGAAAGAGAGAAAGGAAAACATACATAATAATGTTACAGCAAGCGACAAAACAAGGCGTTTTCTGTACAACTTTAAAGTTTTTGAAATACACTGTTTGGTTTGAAGTTTAAAGCTTGTGGGAGCAGCACTAATTAATGGAGAAAGATAAAACACCTCATGAGACTGAAGTTGTTGGGATTCCAGATTAAGTGTTTTTAGCTACCTGTGCGCTGAGGGTCTCCAGTGGGCTTTCTACACGTGGAAAAGTCATCAGAGGCAGAGTGCGGTACGCTTCAGTCTTCTGTTTAGCTGCTACTGTATGAACACCTTTGAAGTTGTTCACAACACAAATGCCCTGTGAAGTATGAGAACAGTTTAAGATAAGATTAGATAAGGTAGAACTTTACTGATCCCGCAGTTTAACCTTTACAGTAAGATAGATATGAAAATGAAACGACTGACATTGGCTACTATTGGTGAACATTGGTTACCATCCATTCATTTATATGTATGGTTCTATGAAAGAAAATGTTATACACCAAAGAGATATCAGGGGCATTGAGGGGTTCAGTGTATTGCCCAGGGACACTTCAACATGTGACTGGATAGTGGTGGAATCGAATTCCCCAACTCTCCCAGTGGAGTGGAGGATGACTGCTCTAACCACTCAGCCACAGCTGCCCCCAGATAAGCGTATGTAGTAAGTTGGTTTATTTTGGCTGCTCCCTTCTACAGGACAGCTACAGAGAGCAAACTTGCATGAGAGATTTGTCAATTGTTTTATGCCAGATGCCCTTCCAAACGCAACCTGGCCTCGAACTCGCAACCTCAGGATTACAAGACCACAGCACTGACCACCAAGCTATCGCAGCACATTACCATCTGAGCATACAGCAAAGTAAGAACTACATGAAACCTACACATTAAAACAGTAAACAAAAAAAATTACAAAATTAAAATATACTGAATCGTATATATTTTTTTTTGTGAGGAAAATTTCTGGATCTTTTCCATAGAGGGACAGGCCTTAAGAGTTGTACTGCAGCCAGCCTACGAAGTGATGCTTGTCCTATGTGACCTCATCTTCCATGTTTCAGCCATGTGTCTATTTATGAACTAGTAACATTTGGAAATATTTTTATTTGTTTTATTATACTTTTACATTTTATATGTGGGTTTTATTGGTACTTATTGGCTTCGCATGAGTATTACCGGTAAGCCCTTTTACATATTGTTTTTCCTGTCCTTGTTAAAACCTAGGTATTTTTTCCATGATAAGGAAAACATTTTTTTTTAAGTATTCAAGGCAGTGTAGTCAAGGCCAACAGTTATGTCACTAGTTGCATAAGCTGGAGTTTCATCAATATATTCATACGTTTTAAAGATTTATACCAAAGTTTATTTGAATTTCAACAGCTGTTAAGAAACTTTGCTTTACAATACAAATGACAAACTTATAACAGCTCTTAAAAAAGGTCTAGTGCTTGCAAAGTTATTAGGGGTTGTCCTTTAGAGAACTATGAATGGAAGAATATATTTAAATAAAACCCATTAAGTATTTGATGTATTGAAACCTGGATAATAGGATAATGATAATACCAGTGCATTTTGAGCCTTAAATTAGTGCTAATTTGTATATACTATTAATTACATGAGGAATGGTACACCCTAATAGAACATATATAAAAAATAAAAAACAATTAAATGTCTGTGTCAGAACAAAATTAACAGCATCCGATGGTTGCTTTTGAGAGATGTGACCACATTTTCTGCTTGAGAACAGTTAATGATGTGATATCAAGTTAATAGCAGCATAAAAATCAATCAAACATTAAATGAGTCTCTAACGGCCAGACAACATAAAAGTCAGTGTCTCTAACAATGCTCCAGCTTTTCTACTTTTAAATGTTTGTCAGTCTTGGTTTATGTGACAGTTTTATGCAATAAAAGCTTCTGCTACAACACTGAAGCTCTCAGCTACTGTTTATGGTTTTACACTAAAATATATTAGCAATGATAGTAACTATATGTATATATATGTATATATAAATAAATAAATCCCTTTTTTTTTTTAGAATAACAATGAGCTTCAAACTCCATTCTTTTTACAAGCTAGAATAAAGCTTGACTTGAACATGCGACTAGCAAATTCCTTTTATTCACACACCAGTCAGGTTCTTTTAAAAGCGCGCACGCCAAGAAGGCTGCAGGATTTCTGAACCCTTCCATCTTCCAGTTAATCAAAGACAGCAGCCTGAAGGAGATTCCACCCCACCAGACACCAAGCGTGCCCTCGGGCAGCGGCAAAGACGAAAACGAAGCGGGCTGACTCACTGCTGGAGGTTTCGCAAGGATTTCATGTTTGTGGCAGTTCATGGACAGCAAGTCTCTAGTGCGCCAAGACCAGGAGAAGAGCTGCTGGACCAGAATTTACAAATAATTCCCTCAGCACCGCAATAAATTTCCTACATCAATATATGTCAGGGTAAGTCTAAACTGTAGGCTGATGCAGCGGCTTTAAATACATTTCTGGATGATACAATTGATGTGCCTCCTCAATGAACACAGCAAACTGCTTCTTCCTATTTTGTGTCCTGCCAACGATGCAAAGAACTCCAGCCAAGCTGTCACCCATTGTTTCAGGTAAGTGCAAAATAAAATGTGAACCTATCGCCTCAAGAATTAATTTAGTAGCACAAAACAGGCCATTTTAGAGTTTATTGCAAGACTACTCATCAGAGTGATGTAAAAGGAACTTGTACTGCTATTCTCTATTTTATAGCATTTTAAAATGCATAGAATCTCAAAGGTTTGTATTAGAATAACACAGCCTAGTCATTTGCATTTAACTTGGATTGTGGCTTTATCAGACAGCATATGGTTCTACCTTTTCTATGTTGAAGTCAATCCTGCACCTCTATAGTTCAAATAATCTAGGAGCCAAAACCAAAAGGCTTAACACTGATCTTTCAATCTGCAGAATGGAGACAAAAACCATTCGTTAGAGCTACATTTTAGTATGTTAAATTTATTCATACCTTCTTTATGCAAATAGTGACCAAATTATTTCCTTTTTTCTGTCTTTATCACCAAATCACAGACAGAATGGCAAACCATCAAATGGGTATATTTCTTGCAGGACAAGGCCTTCATAAGCTCCAATCAGGCCATTGGAACATTTTGATGAAAATGCCTTCCTCCTCTGTTAATGTTGGCCTGATAGTACAATGGAAATGAGACGTTTAAAAACTGCTGAGGTCCTGATTTAGTTCCTTGCGTTAATCTTTCCCTGGAGATCACAGAATCAATGCATGCCAATTCCTATAGGTCAATCACTGAAAACGTACATGTGCTGCTGAGGCTCAATCTCCTCATGTTCCAAGGACAAGATGTTCTGTATTGCACCTCAATGACGTCACAAACTTTTGATGCAGTTTTACGAATCATAAAGCACAAAGAAAACTAAATAAGGATGCATAATATAAAATTGTGTTAATCTACTAGTAGAGGAGGAGGCAGGTCTGACCGTCCGGTTGAAAGTGGTAAAAAAAAAAAAAAAAAAGTCCCATTAAGCTTCAGATGGATCACCTGATCACTGGCCGTGCGCGCCTCCGCACCCTGCTGTGCGGTGAAGGAAGTTGCAGCATCTGAAGCTAAAAGCCGAAGCGAGCAGCGCATTCAATTAAAATAGTCTTGTTCTATATTTTTTCCCAAATATTTTGCTCTAAAAATATTTTTGTTCATCTGTACAATAGCCTATCTTTAGAGTTGATTTTTTTTTTTTTAGGTTATTTATTTTGCTAATATCCATTTGGTGAAACAAAAAATCTTTTAACTTCCTCTCTTTGAAATGCATTTTTAAAATATCATGTCAAACTGATTTGCTTACAAAAGCAGTAAAAGCTTAATACATTTTTTTTTAAGTCTTTATTTTTGGGTTTGTGCCTCTAACTGCAGTTGATTGGCGGGTCAGGTTTGGAAAAAATGGCTATGGGCTGGGGCCGGGTCAGGTCAGATTTTTTTAGGCCGGAATAATCCAAAGTATCTTTTAAACATGCTGTCAATCCCACTGTTATTTACTGAGCTACATTTTTCCCCTTTAAACTATTTTTACTTAATTTAGGTTAGACATGGATGAATGATCATGAAATACATGCTTGGGAAAAAATATTTTAAAACTCATTGAGAACAGGTGAAAATAACATAAAAGTTAATGCACAATAATCCAGGTAAAAAAATCCAACAAAGTTAAGTCAGGTCCTCTGGCCGGTTTCTTTTTGTTGAAACGTTTCGGCTTTCATCCAAAGGACTTCATCAGTCTTCATCACTAGCAATAACAGCAGCAGCCCTCTTTGAATAGCAAGTGGCCATAAGGGCATTACCAATCGGTTGTTAGGCTGGTGGTCCTCCTTTTGCATGTGAACAGTTTTGTCTGTCACCAGCAAACTGTTCCAGGAGAACGTGCTATTTTTAAGACCGAGTTTCACTGCAGCTCCTCAGACTGATGAAGTTGTTTGGATAAAATATGAAATGTTTCAACAAGAAGAATCCATCCAGAGGACCTGACAACTTTTTTTTTTTTTTTAGATTTTTCTACCTGGATTACTGAGCATGCATCAGGATATATTTGTGTATAGTATATTTGTGATTTTTGATTTTAGTGGTCTTCAGGGAAAACTACAGTAGCAAAAACACTGTGCTGAAAACTGAACACAAAGCTGTTCAATGGACAGTTTTGTGTTCAGAAGTGTTGTATAATAAAACAATGGCAGCATGTTTGTCATTGGTTCAAGGCTCAATCCTCTCAATCAGTCACTCGCTTCAGTGGAGGAAAACAAAATATTTCAGATGAGAGCACAGCAATTAGATGCAATTGTCATTCTCAGTTACCTGGGCTGAAGGTCATCAAAGTAAAAAAACTCAAACTAACCAAAAATTGTGGTATTTTTGACTTAATGAAAGTAATAGCAGGCATAAATAATGTGATGTTTCCTTTTCATGTTTAAATTACATTGTTAGGGTCAACATATATATATATATGTGCCACAACAAAACCATTGGTTCTAATGCTCTGCCTAATGTGTCTGTAATGACAGGAGGTAAAACACGATGCAAACAGTGCAATGCAGTGATAAAACACTTAGGTTTATAATATTTTAACTGATGGGATTCTTCACCTAAATACTCCAGTCAATATTAGTTATACCTAAAAAGCAAACAGTGGTTTGAGTTTGCCAACATATTGATCTATAATGTACTAAAATCAGCTGATTGATAGCACAGTAACACCATCAGCAGTAGAAACCAATCATCTTACTTTTGTACTGAAAGTATGTCACGCTTCTGGTACCCTGTCTGTAAATTAAGAAGTTATATCAACCTCTGCAAGAGGTGCCAATATATTAAGCCCTCATTGCCTCCCCTCAAAATCTACCCTTCATGTGACTGTCTTCTTCATGCATTTCTTCCCGCTTTGACGCCCAGAGCCCAGTGGAAGTTACAAGCAATGAAGCCTTTGAGGCGCCTACTGAATCCTTTCACCTTCCTTCTTTCCTCAGTGGGCTTTCCACTTCAACCCAAAAAGTCTCTGTGGTTTCACTAGCCATCATATCCCTCCTTTTAAACACTCAGCGTGAAACCTGATGTTGACAAAGCCAATTTAATTTTAAGTGGAAGCCAGGCTGTTTGACAACCCATCACAGGCGACTGATCTTGATTTCACGTCATGGACAGATGAGCAGGGAAATTGCGGTCTTGCGTGGGAAGTCAGAACATTTATCCCCTGTTATGACTATTGTTTTAATAGGGAAGATTAACAAGATCCCTTACCTCATGGGTACCTCAGAATTAAAGGGATCACTGGTTCTGCCTTCATTCATCTCCAAATTAAACACTATGGCTAATTAAATTTGAAGTTTACCCTCTTTTTTCCAGTCATTTTGCTTCTTCAGTATGCGTTTTAGAAACCAGAACAACAGTTAATCTCAGTGATTGTCCATGTGTCATCACAGTATTCTCTCTCTTTTATTTCCTTTTATTCATTCCAATCAACTAATGGATCCTTAACGTCAACCCTCAAGCCTACATTACATGTATTTGATCCCTCTTTAAGAAAAGAATTTTAAAAAGCCATGACTTTTTTAATATCTCCTCCAAGCACAGCTATGTGAATTACACTTTAGCCTCTCTATCAATGAAATAAATACATAAATAAAAAAGTACCCCCTCACTGGGGATACATCATTAATGACTTTGTCATTGCAACAAAACCTTAATGCAAGCTTTGGTAAGCATTATGTAATTACCCATTTGGGTCTTTTCCAAACTGATGGTGAAACTTGTGCTTTGAAAATAACTTTTGACCAGAATCCACCTCTAAATACTCATTTTTCAAGACATTTAAACAATTCAAATATACTCACCAGAAACAAAGCAATGGCCGATCCCAGTATAAATCCGGCCACCACATCTGAGCAGTGGTTCCGATACTCCGAGACCCGATTGAGGCCAGTGAGGAAGGCTGTACACAGCGTGCCCAAACAGAGCACAGGTTTGGCCAGACGACTGGACTTGGTCTTGATTGTGCTAGTGATGTACATCTTAAAACCAAATAAAAAGGGGGAAAAAAGAAAGATAAGACAAAAGATGCAAGCCTTCCAGTCTTTCCTAAAAAAAAAAATTAGTTATACGTGCTGTTTCTAAAAATATTTTCATATATTTAAGTAAAAAAAAATGTTTTATTACTATTTACTTTACCAGGTCTGTATGTGGCACTACAACACCACCATGAACATACAAAAATAGGAAACGAGACATGGAGCATGTGCATAAATCTTGGTAGGTGTGAAATTTAACACAAGAGTATACCCTCATGTTAATGGTTACATTAGAGGTGGCAAAAAATGACATCAATATTATCAAAATTTGGACCATATACACAAAAACCAATACAGTGACCCCTCGCATATCACTGGGCTTACGTTCCAGAGGCCACTATGATAGGTGAAAATCTGCAAAGTAGCGGTGTTACATTTATTATAATTATTATAATAAATTCACAAAAATTCAAATCAGACACAGGACGTGTTCAATAAGTTTTGTTTTGAAAAGTCTGGTGGGAGCCAATATACGTCTGTGGAAACGCATTGGAAAATATTGCAAGGTGAAACAGGAAAATCCGCAGAAACTTGGTCAGGATGGGATCAGTCAGGGGCATGAGATAACCGTTGGACATTTATTTGCAGAAGGCTTTCAATAATCTGGCGCCAGTTAGAGAACAGGGGAGCACTTAAATGTTACAGCCACACGGTGAGAAGAATTATGCTGATTACAGTGGAGCAGGTGGGCGTGGTGAACAGACAGGCAGGAAACATGACATTCCCAATAGGCCTGTCACGATAACAAATTTTGCTGGGCGATTAATTCTCTCAGAAATTATTGCGATAAATGATAATATTGTTTGAAATTTGACAATAATTAGTCATTATTGTCAAATTTAAGAAGACATGTTTGTAATTGCATGCAATACCTCTTTTGACCACCAGTTGACAGTATAAGACTGTTTGAACCGAAGGATGGATAGTGAGGGAGCAAGAAGTGTGTCTCTTTAAGAAAAAATGGGAGGGAGGTCCCTTGACATGACATGGGCTGTCTCTCTTCGGTTCTCAAAATGGCGGACGCTCTGTGTGAATTGAGCTCTTTAGCACAGCATTTTTCACACAAAGCTTTCAATATAAAATCAGTAAACAAGTTCTCAGTTTCTTTTTGCAGAGTAAAACAACTTTTTACATGAAGGCACAGGTTTCAACTGTGAATTTTGTGGCTTCAGCAAGATTAAGGTTTTTTTCCCCCGAGGTCAGCCTGTTAGCTTAGCTTATAGCTTAGCTTCTCAGCTTAGCTGTTTTTAACGATGCAAAAATGCAATTTTGGACAGTTAAAATGGATTTTAAAGAGAAAATAGAAAGGGGGGGGGGGGGGGGGGTCAGTGAAGAGCACCAGAGTTGAGCTTTTTATCATCTGGTGTCTTCAGTAGAAAGAGAGAGACACGAAGAAACGATAAAAGCCTATAAATGAAAATGAGGTTGATAATTTTAATTTATCATGCGATTAATTGATTTATTGTTTATTGCAACAGGCCTAATTCCCACTCTCATAAACACTTCATATGCTCTTAAACAATTTTACAATAAAGATGATGATAATGATGAGACAAATGCACAGTACTGCACAGCATGTATGGTACACACCAATATATATATTTATTTATTTATTTATTTATTTATTTGTAAAGGGTTTAAAACATACACGATGCAGTGAAGCCGCAAGAAGCGAGCCACAATATACCAAAAGACGATTGTAATTCTGTTTTAGATATTTTTCACTCTAAAATGTCAATTTTAGAACTCCTAAAATGGTGTTTTCATATGGATACAAAGCAAAAACACTAATATTAATTTGGGGATGGTCCCTAAAAATTTAAAACATATAGCCTGTAGTAGCAAAGTCTTCTGCAGCGACACGAAAATGGTTCATGCAGGTAAGAGTCAAACTTATTATTTCAACATAATACAAATAAACAACTTTGTGGAAAAAAAAAAGTTAAATTTTGCACACAAAAAAAACAGTTTCTTGAGACTAAACTATAACTAGATGAATCTAATAGGACCCACACACTGTCTTCTTGAAATAAAGTCCAACCTCGTGACCTCATAAGCATTGACACGAGAGCTGAGGAGTCAAATATGTCAAAAAAGCTTTTTAATTGTTCAAGCTGATAAAATCTGCACTTGTGCTTCCTCACATTTTCATTAGTTTCACATAGCTGCTTCTCAGAAAGTCCTTCAAAATATCCCCTTTCATTTATCCACCCAGTAAATTAAAAATGCCTTAATTCATCTTAGGCTAATGCAAACTGTTCTTGGAGACAGTGTCATCAAATCTCAGGTCCCTCCACATTTATCTTGTTGGTAATTTATTACCTTTTACTTTATATTATGGTTTAGCTAGTGAATTTTTGTAAACTGATGCTGCCATTTTTTTTATTCCAAAAACAACTGTGATGCTTAGTGAGAGTTTGTCAGGTTTGGTGGTTGTTTATCTGCAATTTTCATGGGCCATCAAGTAAAATGCCAAACCGCAATTTTGCAAAGTAAAAAAAAAAATATATACCATATTTTCCGGACTACAAGTCGCTCTTTTTTTCATAGCTTGGCCAGTCCTGCTACGTATAGTTCGAAGCAACTTACCATACATACATTTTTTTCCCTATTCGTGACACAATTTTTGACTGACATGTTAAATGTTCATTCATACTGATATGAACCAAAGAGTAACATTACCATTTGCAGCCACGAGAGGGCCCTCTAGGCTTTTGACAACTATATGTTGTTCTTCTACCACTAAACACCAACCCCCCCCACAAACATTCACTTAGAGACAACTGAGAAAAACTTAACACAAGTAAAATGCCACCAAAAAGAAAATCCTATTCTGCAGATTACAAACTGCAGGTAATAAAATATGCAAATGAGTTGGGTCCACGCAGTCTGCCCAGGGGATTCAACCCGGCGGAAGGGACGGCCGCTCGGTGGTGGATGATTCCCCTTCATGGGGGACCTTACCCCCGTGTCTGGCTGGCTCCCACCAGGCAAATTTTCTCATTGGCGGTGCATCCTAACCGTGTCTGGGTCGGCCTGGAAGGGTCCAGGGATGAAGGTGGCTCCCGGATCCGGCCACAAGCTCTAGAACATCCCCACCTTCACCTCGCCGCTTCCCGTGGTCATGGACCATGTGCCTCGCTGTGTCTTTTCTCCTGGCTTCGGCGGCGGAGTGACGAGGCCATATCGCCGCCGGCATGGCTGACGACCGGGACAGATTGTTCTCAGTGGCCCATGTTTCTCAGGCGCAAGAGGACAGCGGCGACGCATAATAAATGCGACTTATACTCTGAAGTGGCTTATATATGTTTTTTTCCTCTTCATGAGACATTTTTTGACTGATGCGACCTATACTCGGGAGTTACGTATAGTCCGGAAAATACGATAGTTTTCCAAACCAAGTAGAAACTGTTAAAAAAAAAGGTACTGAATGCAAATTGTTTGTAAGTAAATTTAAATGGTCAAAGCAATATACACAAGCAGAAAAAAAGTAATTTAAAGCTGAAGTGAAATCTCATTTAATTTTATTAAATACAGACTGGCTTGGTTTCTATTTAACAATTTTTATTGAAACAAAATTGGTTAAATCAATTAAAAAAAAAAAAAACAACATATTTGCCATTTAATTGAGCACATTTTGCTTACCGTCAGATAGACCGCAGAGTAAACACTCAGCGAAGCGTCCTTGGACGGAAACGATCGGCGTGCGTTCTCCACAACAAAGGGGTTCCCGGTGCAAATGTTGCCGTTGACTATGAACTGGTGATTGAAGCGGCATTCGGTGCCTGTGTAGTTGGGCTTGCAGACTGACAGAAAGTAAGGTGAGAGGCCTCCAGTCACCACCTGGCCCGCGTTAACGAAGATGTCTGTGGCAAACAGACCAAATGCAAACACACCTGGGGCACGGAGAGAGAAATGAGAGCATGAAAAGCCCACAGCAATGAAACAATACCACAACAACAACAACATGCTTCATATGTGTTTCAATTGATTATGCCCTGTGTGAAATTAGACTGGGACCGTCTGGATCCCTGAGCCACCAGATGAGCCTAAAACAACCATTAGGCTGGGCTCAACATGCAATATATGGTAATTTAGCATTTATTCTCAGAAAGTATATACATATTTGTTTGTAACATACATCTTCAGACAGTGTGCTCTTTAGCTCCTGTAAGTTTGACGCTGCAGAATGCAAAGGAATTAGCACAACTAAGAATGGATACTGACTTGATTACATATCACCTTAGAGTTTATTAAATGATAATTTGGGTTTTGGAGGTAACCGCTCCACTGAAAACACTGCAAATGTTTCTCAAATTAACAAACTTGTTCCTTGAATGCAAATTGTGCTCATTCTGCTTTTCAGGTAGTACCAGTGCCAAGAAGGGCAAATTAAAGTGCAATCATGCAGCAGCTAACTTGAGTTTGTTTTTTATCTTCCTTGCAGCATGCATGACTATGTTAATTACAGAAAAGAGGAGAAGAGAAATGTTAATTTTTAAGAGCAGTGAAGTAAAGTGACGATGCGGAAGAGAAAAGTAGCATTAATATGAATGATTACACTGATACTTTCAGCGCACCATGCCTGACCGATGTCTGTGCCAGCATTCCTTTTGCTGTGAAATATGGCTGCTGATTATCTAGCCTGCTTAGCCATGAAATTACTGTCCTTTCTATTGTCATCCAGGCTTGGGGTGCGGGGTCTGTGAGTGTTTGTGTGCAAAGGGGTGTCTGGGTGGGGATACGGGGATTGCATGAAGGGCATTGAGGGAAATGGAGAAGGAGGATTAGCGCAAGGAGAGAGCAGAGTGCAATAGGAAGGGAAAAGCCTTGATGATCCTTCAAAGCGGAGGAATTGCTCAATTGCTCAAAAACATACGGAAATAAAATTTAGGTGAAATGCCTCCTGAGTATTTGGAAGGTGGTTGACTAATTGGCAGGGTTTTATTTAAAACTGGTCAAATACAGTTTGGATAAAGCCTGAAAAACCCTGTAGACCTTTTCTACAGGAAGGAGAGCCTGCGAGTCCGGCCATTTTTCCCCTAAATATGCTGCGTCAAGTCATGATTAAAACTAAAAAAGTAAAGAAGGGCTACTTTTAGTTTAAGAATCAGTCTTCCTTGTTTCCCCAACTCATTCCTTCCTTCCTTCCTCCCCAGCTTCTTTTCATTCTTGTATCATCCTTCCTTCTTTGTATCATCTTTCCTTCCTTTCTTTCTCGTAACCCCATTTTTCCAGTCCTTGTACCATCTCACCTTACTTTCCTTGTTGTATTCTCCCTCAGTCATTTCTACTTTAAGCCTCTCTTCATTCCTTCCTTCCTTCCATTTTTCTTTGGTTCCTCCTTTGCTCTAACTTCCTTCCTCGTGTAGTTTTCTCCTTTCTTTCTTTCATTTGTTTCTTGTTTCTATCCTTGCATTTCATCCATTTAATTTCATTATTGTCTTCATTCCTCAATTTTCCCTCTTCTACTCATTTTCTTCTGTTCATTTGTTTCTTTTATCTTTTCTTCTTGAATTAGCTTTGAATAGAAAGTTGGAATATCTTTTAACTTTATTGTTTGACATTCTTTAAGTGGGGATATTTGTATATTCAACATTTTAGGTGCCACTATCCACCTTATTTCTGGGGGGTCTACTCTATAAATTATTATGGGTACAACTTCCAGTCAGACACCGGAAGTAGCGGTAAGCATTGGATAACTATGGTAGTGGATAATTAGAATGTAACTTGCATTCAGTTTAGCAGATAAAATGCTGTTTTTGTTTTGTTCAGCTGTATTTAGCAACCGTAAAATTTACTAAAATAGCCTTGCCCATTCCAGGTAACGTGTTGTTCACGGTTGCACGAACAACCAGACCAAACTAAATCAATGGCTACAACAGTGTTTTGAACATGGACCCAAAACAAAAAAAAAACTGTTCCTGCGAAAAGCAGTTTAGTTTCTATCACCTACCTAAATGGTAAATGGTAAATGAACTGCACTAACAGTATATAGCACTTTTCTATCTTATCAGGATACTCAAAGTGCTTTACAACACAATCTGTGCCCTTATTTATCCATTCATACAGCACTCTACTACAGCTATACAAAGACTAATCAGTACTTTAGATCACATTTATACACTGATGGGACACACATTGGAGGCAATGAGTGGTTCAGTGTCTTGCCCAAGGACACTTCAGCATGTGACTGTGGTGGAATAGAACCCTCAGCTCTTGCAATGGAGGACGACTGCTCTAACCACTCAGTCACAGCCGCCCTACCAACTACAGATGAGTAAGTAAGAAGAATGTGGCTGAAAAATGTGAACTTGAGGCGACCACCCAAAACGCTGTATGTGTGCTCATTTCATTTTGTTCACAAATGGCCGACGGAGGAAAACCTGCATCCTACTTTTTGTCTGGAATACAAAAAACCACCGAAGAAGAGATGCCGGATCCATGGATTGAAAACAGTGTGATGAGAATATCAGGTATGATTTCAAGAGTATGGAGTGCACAGCATTATAGTATTCCTTTGTCTTTGGTATTACAGTTTTCTCTATAACTAACACAAGCGCGGTGATGAAGGATTTTAAGGCTTTGGCTGGGCTCTGTGTTTGCTTTAAGGTAAATAAGGTTGTGCCCCACCTCTTTTAACAAAACGCGACCAAGCTTATTACTGTGTAGATACTAATATGCCTCAGAGCTCTTCAAGTTGTTCATCGCTTCACTTTCGGAAGCAACTGAGTCCATGAAGTAGCTAAATATGCTAGTACCTATATGTAATCTGCAGCCACTTTTTAGGAGACTAAAGGTATGATTATATTGTTCTGTTTGAGCTCTGACAGGTGGTGTTCCTACATGTTTAAATTAAATCCACAAGGCTCAAAGTAACTACATTAGCTTGTACTGTTCGCACATAAACGCCGGTTCCGGTCCGCGCAGGAAGTCACGCCCATAATTCACGCAAGGCACCATGGAGCCTAGGAATAATGTGGATAGCTTTAGAAAAATGTTTGAAGTTTACATCTTATTTCCAATGTTTTCAATTTGACCTAAAAAACTAAATATTGAACATGTACACGTAAAGTTAGTTCACAGAACTACTGGCATGAGTGTGTGACATGACATTACAATGTTCTTACCTATGAAGCGTATGACGCGACGGATAAGGGGGTTGAGGTAACAACAGTCTCCTGTCACGATTGTTTTCTCCTGGGCCAGAAGAGCTTCCCGTGTTGACTTCATCACATACATGGAAACTTCTCCAATGAAGATCTACAAGTGTGGTGATCAATGACGCACACAGGTGGGAAAAGAAAAAAAGGTGAGAGGGTAAACGTATTACAAAAATCATTCAAAAAATTTGTTTCAGAGAAGAAAAAAAAAGATTTTGAAATAAGGGATCCAAATACTAACAGAGTAAACTAAGGGAGAAAAAAAAAACACAAGGAAGAAAATAGAAATACTTGTCATTCTGTAAAAACAGGAACAATTTGCCCCAGTGTGGCCTGTGTACATAAAACACCGTGTCTTAATGCAGCCTTTCTTTAGGTCCATTACGGAATGGACATTACATCTGGTCTAATGGAAAAGCTGCTGCTGGACACAGAAAATGAAACTCACTGCCATCTGCCTTGGGTGATACACACAGTTATAAAATACATTTTTAAATGACACGGTGTGCATGCAGTTTGTGTATATTTGCACCATTGTGGTCTTGGTATTTAATGTGAGTGTGTGTGCTCACAACAGTTTGGTTAGAGCCCCAGGACAGGTGTGTTTTTCCTCTATTCCTTGTGGACACCGTTTTTCATCTGCATGGTTATAACTGTATCTCTAATCATTTTTTTCTTCCTTTTTTATTGTAGTAAATGCAATGTATGTAGCAATGTGGGTAAAATGAAAGAGCTGGTCAAAAGTAAGTCCTGAACAAAATACAATTAAATTCTGAATATTATTTTGACCAGAAGAAAGAATGGTGATTCACAAAAAGCACTACAAGATGTCAATGACACTAATATGAAACAGATGATGAGAATAGGTCTTTAACGTTCTTTGAATGAATGCTAATTGCTTTCTATCTTTCATGTCAAAAATTCAAAATAATACCATGTTGTACTGAAACCACGACTAACTAAAAGTAATTTAGGTTAAACATTGACAAAAAAACAATGTTATGTGCCATATTGCTCAGTTTCTCCCAGAGCATGTGTTAGGAACGACTGTCACATACCAACATCAAATTTTAGTTCAATATCTATGAAACTGACTGAGTTGTAGCAAATGTTGTGTTTACCGAGGTCCAATAGCTGTGTTGGCCATCTTGAATTGGACTGATGCCAAATTGCAATTTGTTGCTGAAAGACAACCAAGGATTACTTTCTGAAAGTTTCTTATAAAATAAGCTTATGAGTTCACATGATACAGTATTCCCATGTTTATTGCAGGGGTTTCTGTTCTCAGTCCCCCCGCGATAAGTGAAAAACTACGAAGTAGGTATAGTAGTACTAGTAGTAAGTAGTAGTTATATATAGGGAAGACAAAGGTGCTTTAAACACTTCCCACACTCTTGCAATATTCTAAAAAAAATGTTTCTAAACTCTAAACGCTCTAAAAGCCACAGAATGCCATGATCTTTGCCCTGCCACCTGCCAGCGCCCTTGGCCACGCCCACTTCTCCGCTGCAGAGCGGAGATCATGGCATTTTGCAGGAGGGAGCTTCTCACTGCACATGTGGGCTGCACATAGGTGGCGCAGGTGCTAAATAATTTTAAATAATCTACTTTGTATTTAAAATAAACAATCCATGCCAATCGTGTGTCTCATCCATCAATCAGCCACTTGTGTGTCGTGTCCACTCTTACTTTGAAAAACCACGAAACAGAGTCCGTGAAAGTCAAACGGAGAAGTAGCGAGGGACTACTGTATTTTGCTAACAGACAGGCTGATGACTTTAATAGGTGGTTGCAAAGTTTTGAAGAAAAATCTTGCAGAATCTGTTAGAATTTCTAGTATATGTTGGGGATGAGCCTCAGCCACTATGTCTACGCTAAATTTTAGCTCAGTATCTGTAACACTGACCAAGTTAGAGCAAATCTAGTTGTGAAATTGGAATAATTGAGGTGGCCATCTTGTCTTCAAATTATAATTAGTTAAAGACATATCATGATTACTTCCTGGAACTTTATTTAAATCCATATGATTCATGACATATTTTGCCAACATGTTCAGTTTGCATATAAAACTTGAGTACTGGTACTTATAATAGTTTCGTAATCAGTTTATTTTCTCGAAAGTCACAAAATGCCACTTGTAAAATGGGTTATTTCCTGCCAGCTGTTTATAAATGATGATGTTAACATTTTCTAACTACATCTTGCCTAAAAGTATCAGTTTCACGTCAGCATTGAAAAGGTTAGGTACTACTGCCGGACTGTTATTTCTTCTAAAGCCAACTCCACTTTCCCTAAAGAAATGTCACGAAGACTGAATGGAAACAACCATCGGCACAAATCATGTTAGATGCCAAGAACAACTTAGAGTTCAGCTGACACAATGATGTTTGAGGAGAAAATGAAAAGGTTAAAGAAAAGATAATGTTTTTTAAATCCTTAACTTTTCTCAGAGGGTTTTTTTTCCTGAGAAATTTGGAAAAAGGACAGACTTCTGGAGAACATTAGAGCTGCACACTTGATCAAACCACATTTATAGTTACACTAAGTAATTGAGATTATACTGTTTATAATCGGTTTCATATTTTGACTTGAGTTCACTGTTCTTGCATGGTATTATGTTTTTAGTTGAGCGTGTGCCAAGGCTCAACTTTAAGGACGGCGTGAGGACACACAAAAGAAGCTCAGGGTTGACATCAATGCCTTTTTATTTTATTTCATTTATTTATTTATTGCAGCATTCTTATTCTCATCTGTGTTCTTATGTAACAATGTATGAACAGCTTTATAAAACGGCCCTGATGAATATCAATTAAAATATATATACGGTGTGATAACTTTTTCTAATTACCTAATTAAATGTTGCTTTTGATGCATGGTCACACATACAGAACAGGCTGAATCAGCAACAACATTTGCTAAATTAGTTTTGTAAAAATGGCAGTTTAATTTTTCGTTACTGGAACATTTTACGCTGGGAAACTGCAGCAGGCTGTCATTGTGATTATTACTCCATACAAAATATCAACATCGCCTCTGCTGGCTCTGCATTTTGCAAGAACGCAGATGTGCTATCTATCATCCTCTTGCTGCTGAGGGTGATCAGACTGACTTTCTAAGGCTTGTTCGTGACTGAAAAAAAAAAAATCCTTAACATTAAAATGACTCCACAGAGTCCCGTTGGTCCAGCCATGTGTAACACTGCTTGAATTACTGCCTTGGCGCTAATTGGCCGACATCTCTGCCCCGTCATCATTAATTCTGATTGGCTACTTCTTAGTTTTACGAGGCATGTGGAGACTTGGAAATATATGGCGTGACAAGACATAGCCCTCAAGTTAAAAAAAAGATGGTGTAATATAAAAGGATATATACAGTATGATCCATTGAGGACGAAAGCAAAGAGACATGACAAAAATATGAAACAACAGATGACAATAGATCTGTCACGATAACGAATTTTGCTGAGCTTCTAATTGTTTCAGAAATTATTGCGACAAACGATAATATTGTTTGAAATTCAACAATAACTGTCAAATTGTAGAAGAAATGTTGGCAAAAGCTTGGTGATTTGAGCTCTTTAGCATAGCATTTCAAACAAAGCGTTTAATAAAAATCAGTAAACAAGTTCTCAGCTTCTTTCTGCATAGAAAAACACATTTTTACACAAAGGCACAGGTTTGAACCGTGAATTTTGGAGCTCGACAAGACGGAGCTTTATTCCCGAGGTAGGCCTGTTAGCTTAGCTCGTAGCTTAGCTTCTCAGCTTAGCTGCTTTTAACGATCCAAAAACGCAATTTTGTACGGTTAAAACAGATTTTAAAGAGAAAGGGAGTGGTCAGTGAAGAACACCGGTGTTGAGCCGTGTCTTCAGTAGAAAGAGAGAGACACGAAGAAACAAAGCCGATAAATGAAAAAAGAGGTCGATAATTTTCATTCATCATGCGATTAATTGGTTTATTGTTTATCGTGACAGGCCTAGATGACAACATTCTGCATGCATGGGATGGAGCTAAAGATTCATCTGCTTACAATTAAATGAGTTGTGTGTAAAACTATATGCACACGTCACATTTGCAGACAAAAAACAACTATGACGCTGATGAAAACATAAAAGTGTGTGGATCTTCATGTAAGAAAACATGGTTTCATGCCTTAATGCAACAAGGAGCTACAGAACATTTATCTGTGTGATAAAAGTGTCCGATTCAATGGTGCTTCAGTTTAGCAGACTCGTAACACTGCCAAGTGTTAAGAGCTCGAAAGTGGCAAACTAAATGTCCCAGTTATTGTAAATGTACACAATAAACACACAAACACAAAGAGACAGCAGGACACTTGTGTCTCGTTATGAGTGAACAGGTGTCCCGAGTGTCTGGAAATCAAACAGCTTTAGCAATTTTATCCATGATTAGGTGCTTATTGAAATTGGATACCTGCTGGAAAGAAGGTAAAATTTGGAATAAGACAGTGTGACTAAGAACACTGATATAAACTAACATTTCATGCCACAGTTCATAAAGTTTGACATCATGCAGTGCCTTGAAAAGCATTCACAGCCCTTGAACTTTCTTTTTTTCATGGCGTTACAACTACAAACATCGTGTTTTACTGTGATTATATGGGATAGACCAACACAAAGTTGCACATCAATTTGAAGGGAAAGTGTGTGTATTTGTATTCCGCCCTGCCAGTCAATACTTTGTAGAACTTCTTTTAGTTGCAATTACAGCTGCTTGTCTCAGAGATTTGTCTCTACCATCTTTGCTCACAAACACTCAAATTTGCTCAGTCAGATTGGGTCCTTGAACAGCAATTTTAAAAGTTTGGCCACAGCGACTCGCTTGGATTAAAGTCAGGAATTTCACCGAGTCTTTCTAACACGTGAATATGCTTTGATCTAAACCATTCTATTGTAACTCTGGCTCCATGTTTCAGGAGGTCGTTCTACTGGAAGGTGAACCTCTGCACCAATCTCAAGTTTTGCTTTTGTTTGTTTGCAGGCTCGAACCATTTTCTTCTTGTATTTAGCTCCAACGACTCTGAACAGCTTCCATGAAACGCTGACGAAAAGAATCCTGACGGCATGATTCTGACACCACCATGTTGCACTGTGGGGATGGTGTATTTGATGTGCAAGGCTAGTTCTCCACCAAGCAAAGCATTTTGCATTTAGGCCCAAAAGTTCTACTTTGGTCTTATCTAAGCAAAGTACCTTCTCCCACAAGTTGCTATGTCCACTTCATGGCTTAGAGCAAATTGAAAACAGGACTTATTATGGATTTCTTTCAACGCCTTTTTTTTTTCTATAAAAGCCAGATATGTGGAGTGCACGACTTATAGTTGTGCTGTGGACAGATTGTCCCACTTGAGCTCCTCCACAGTTACCAAAGGGCTTCTTGGCTGCTTCTAATAATACTGCTCTTCTTACCTGCCCTGTCAGTTTAGGTGGACCACTGTGTCACCATACTTGTCCTGTTACTGAAATTTGAAATTTGTTACAAAAGGTATTCTAACATGCTGTAACAAAAGTTTGATATAGTCGAAAAAAAAAAAGGAACTAAATCCATCCATCCATCCATCCATTTTCTTTACCCGCTTATTCCATTTTGGGTCACGGGGGTCGCTGGTGCCCATGTCCAGCAATCACTGTGCGAGGGGCGGGGTACACCCTGGACGGGTCGCAAGTCCATCACAGGGCCACACAGAGACAAACGAGACAAACAACCATTCACTCTCTCACTCACACCTAGGGACAATTTAGAGTTACCAATCAGCCTAACATGCATGTTTTTGGACTGTGGGAGGAAACCGGAGTACCCGGAGAAAACCCACGCATGCACGGAGAGAACATGCAAACTCCACCCAGAAAGGCCCCTGGACCGGGGTTTGAACCAGGGACCTGCTCGCTGAGAGGCAGCAGCTCTACCAGTTGTGCCACCGTGCTGCCCAGGAACTAAATCGTATTACTAAATAAAATTGAGTGTAAACGTTCTAATGTGATTCAATTCTGTGACTTAAACGAGCTCCATTCATTCAATCACAGAGTAAAGTGTGAAATTATCCGTATTCAGCTATTTCAGATGCTAAATTATTAGACTATTTTTAAAGTTTTAACAGACCAAAGAGGTAAGTCATTCCTCATTATCATAGCCAAACATTTTTTGAGAGGTCCAGGGAAAAATGGTATCATGAAAAGTTTTAATTTTTAGGAACAATGATTATTATAATCATTACAGTCCAAGTGCATCAAAATATCTACATTTCTGCAAGTGTATGTATAACATGCATCTTTTAAAAGTCACTCGAGTCTTTTTACTGTGGGGTTATTGTTGTTGTATCAAAGTTGGCTACCTAATATCTGGAAAAAATAAAATTAAAATTACACTGTAAAACTAAATAAAAAGAAAATGTATTCCTGGTTTGTCTGTAGTGAAGTAAATTAACAAACATGGAGCTAAACTGACATCTGGTGGTTAACTTCTGCAACTCCCATAAAGACAGTCAAATCAAAAGTTCATTTAGATCCATCACAGTTACTGAGCCTCACAACATTAAATGATTTATTTATATATTTGTATTTATTGATTTTCTGATCACTTCTAATATGTTTAAATGATGCAGGAATTAACACAGGAGCAATTAGTTACATTATTGATTTAACACTGTTATTGCCCTATAACCCTCTGCATAATGACTCGCTGCCATGGTTCATCACAGTTAGTAATTACTTGTTCGGTACGTCAATAGTGAAAGGAGAACTAGTGGACCATTCTGTTACATAAAGTGCCATCTCATCTTGAATAAAGGAATAAGCCAAACACTTTCCCAGGAGCAGAAGTGAAGCAGAACGCAAGACGCCTGAACGTTAGAGAATACATGGAGCAGGAAGTAAAGCAATGAGATGGTTTCCAAGAAACAAGTGAATTGTTTGCAGCCATCTGTTGAGGCAGAAGCATCAAAGCCAGCCACAAAGAAACTGAGCAAATTGATAAAGATGGTCTTTCAGAGCCCCTAGTTGATCATCGAAAGAAAACTATATCTGCTCAACTCAACAGACAGAATCACTACAGATGAGCTGACTTCAGTTAGACACTTGTTTTTTTTAGGTTGGCAGAAAGAAATAAAAGATATTATATCTTAAAGACATAACCTCTTAAAATGACGTTCTGCACCTGATTATTTTGTTCCCCTTGTCTTGCATTTTTCAGTGAGTATTTATTTGTTAACAAACTTTGTGTTTTCTTTTAATTCAGATTTATTTAATGACTTCACAACTCAATTAGCAAATAGTGTGAAGTTCTAAATACAAACTGAGGCCAAACCATTCAGCTGAGCCAAAGATGGACATTTTCTACAGTCAAAAAAATGTGTCTAAAGATTGTCTTCTCCAGATTTTAACATTATTAGACTCGTGTAGAGTTATGACTAATATCAAAATTTAGCTAATGAATTGAAAGTTAGTTATGCCTGATGAAGATATTAGAAAATTTAACATACATTGTGGATTTTAATGGGCAGCACGGTGGCGCAACTGGTAGAGCTGCTGCCTCTCAGTGAGCAGGTCCCTGGTTCAAATCCCGGTCCGGGGGCCTTTCTGGGATAAGTTTGCATGTTCTCTCTGTGCATGCATGGGTTTTCTCTGGGTACTCCGGTTTCCTCCCACAGACCAAAAACATGCATGTTAGATTGATTGGCAACTCTAAATTGTCTCTAGGTGTGAGTGAGAGAATTAATGATTTTGTCTCGTTTGTCTCTATGTGGCCCTGTGATGGACTTGCGACCCATCCAGGGTGTACCCCGCCCCTCCCACAGTGATTGCTGGACATGGGCACCAGCGACCCCCGTGACCCAAAATGGAAGAAGCGGGTAAAAGATAATGGATGGATGGATGTGGATTTTAACATTAAATATGGGCTGATAACTAATACAGTAGTCCCTTGTTTATCACAATGGATCCGTACCCTGACAACCCATGATAAGTGAAAAAACAAGCAATAGTAATATTAGTAATATATATCAAGGTTGCAATATTTTAAACAATGTTACTAAACTCTAAACGCTTTAAAAGATCACAGAATGTCATGATTTCCCTCTCCCTGCCTCCGCTGCTCTCAGCCACCTGCAAGCGCTCTTGGCCACACCCACTTCTCAGCTCTGCAGCTTAGCTGCTATTAGCGATCCAAAAACATTGTTTTGGACGGTTAAAATGGATTTCAAAGAGAAAAGAGAAAAGAAGGAGTTAGTGGAGAGCACTGGAGTTGAGCCTTTTGTCAACCAGTGTCTTCAGTCGAAAGAGACACGAAGAAACGATAAAGCCGATGAAAATGAGGTTGATAATTTTCCTTTATCATGCAATTAATTGATTTATTGTTTATTGCAACAGGCCTAATAGATATTAATAAATACTAAAACAGTGAACTCAAAAAGTAACAAACTAAAACTAAAATGCTAATAACATGACACTACCCCCCCTTCTAAGGGCAGATCTAAACAGACAAAAAAGTCTGCCGTTCATCAAAAAGCAAAGTGTGCAGTAATTTAAATAATGAGCAAAATGTTGACACAGTTGTAAATAGCTGCAAATTTAGAGTTGACGTTTTCTTAAAATTACATTCAAATTCAAGAAGAAATCAAAAGATTAACAATAACCCTAAAAATAAATACAGCGGAGATTCATGGATGAGAGAAGCCATGCAAGCAAAGCATGTTGCACCTGATGAGCCCTCTTAAAATACAACAAAAACAATAAATTTTAAACAAACTTAGGACACAAAAAGGTATTTTTACTCACTACAACGGTGGGAGCAGCTGCCACCACGCAGTAAAGGACGAGGGGAGGGACGAAGCTGGACTCCTCCGTGCCGGGATACGGCTTCATCAGCTCAGCGTCGTTACAGAAGAAGCCTTGCACGTGCACGCCGAACAGGTCCGTGCACTCCATATAGTAGGCCAACAGGGCCGTGCAAGACATGATGACGAGCTGGAAGAAACACATGCCGAGGTCAGACGGAAGAAAAAAAGTTAAGGGTAAAACTAGTTCTTAGCTTTACATCCACCCAACGAAAGGCTTATTGGAATAAAAAGGTTCTGTAGCTCATTCCTTCTCCTCTCTTATTGGTAATGAGTCAGATTTTCACACAAAAAGCATAAATCTTCTAAAATCACGGCTTTTTCCGCGTCACTCTCTCTCCTTTTCTTCTTCTCATGCTATTTCTGGTCATGAACGTACACCCCCTCACTACCACCACTGGCAGCATCATCACTTACTCTTCCTCCCTCACCCCCTCATCCCTTTCTCCCAAAAAAACGTCATCTTTTGTTTCTGGCCTCCTTTTGCTGGTTCTTGACTCAGCTGCAGGCATTTCCCATTGAAATAAAGATATATTGTTTATATATAGCGACTTCAGTCGTTGATAATAAAACAACAGTGGGAAAAAAAAAAAGATGCACCACAAGGCAAGCCTCTTTTAAAATCAGCTTTATTTGTGTCATTCATTTATCCCCGCATGTTAGCAATGCCACCAATCGAGAGCGCCTGCTGGGTTTACGTCAAACAGAAGAGATGGGGAAATTTAATGCATTTAAGGAAAATCCCAATTTAAAAATGAAACCATCAAAGACACACAGTGTCTTACATAAAAACAAACAAATAAATTTGAATTAATTAAAAAATAATAATTAAATTGGGACTAATTCACTTTATCTTTTTTCTCAGTTATTGGGAAATAAATAAAAAAAAGTAAAAAATGTCCAGATGACCTGACTGAAAATTGTTGGATTTTATACATGGATTGTTGAGCATGGACTTTGGGGTTTTGAACCAGTTTGACATGATTGTCGACGAGGGAGAGGGCAGGCACCGGAGGAGAGGGTGTGCCCCAGAGACCATCTTAGCACCAACATAACTTTTTTTCTTTTTTTTTTTTTGTTCCTCACTTTGGAGAAAGCTGTTGGGGGAGAAGCAGTTTTGTTTGGTGTCTCCTCAGACTGATGAAGCCTTGGATGGAAGGCGAAACATCTTAAACACAAAAAAAAAAAAACATCCAGATGACCTGACTGAAAATTGTTGGATTTTATACTTGGATTATTGAGCATGGACTTTTGGTCTTACATTAACGTACTTCATGTTGGTAAAAACGATATTTGTAGTATGGCAGTGCGATTTCTGCATTGCAAATAATACAACAATCCGACTATTGCACACACAGCACAAAATACTGTATGTTTTTTTAATGTTTATAAAAAAAACAAGACTTTTTATGCTTGTGTAATTATAAACACAATCTTTTTTCTTTTTTTTTTTGTATCTATGTGATTCAATATATGGTCCAGCAAGCAGTTTGTAGCACTTGTGCTCAACACCAGGTGTCACTATATTACTGCAGAGGAATAACAGCATTAAGCTCTACTGCAGCCAATCCTTCAAGATGTAAGGGTGTACCTAATTATTGAGACGAAAGTAAGAAAAATAAAAGTAATTTTGTGGAAATAGTGGCATTATGTTTCATTAAGGCAAGGAATTTTATCAAAAAAAAATAATAATCAATGGTATCTCAGTGGTATAAATGTTAAGGCACATTCATTCAACGTTTATGTAGACATGTTAATCCCACTGAGCCTCGAGGACTCATTTACAAGAGAGACCTGATTACTTAACGAGTGATACAGCAATGGATAACAACAGACGGTCATAAAGTAGGCATACACATTTAAGTTTCTCTTTTTTTTTTTTTTACAAATCGAAACAAAATAGCAACCAAAATGACAATCAAGAGGAATAGTAGCAAAAAAACCAGCTACATCACAAGGCAATTTAGAAAACTAAAAACAAGAACATGCCTGCATTGGCTTTTGCCAGGTACTTAACAGGGTTTTAAAGTCACTTAGAGAGGTCAAAGTCGAGAGTTTCAGATCTTTTTTTGCAAGGTGTTCCAAAAAAATCATGACATGAAGATGTAGTGAACTTGTGACATGATGCATTCAGCAGCATAATTGCCCTTTTGGAAAATTGTAGGCAACAGCAAACCTTTATTCAGCTTTCAAACAGTTCAATTTGTCTATGGTCTACAAATACTACTGTGTATATCTGTAAAAGCAAATCTAACATTTAAAGACGTGCTAGGGCATATTTATGGATATGCTTATAAATTCATGCTTTTTGGATAGGTGCTTTATTTGGTTCTCATTCTGACGGAGTTCGTTTTGTCTTCTATTCCCATTAGAAAACCATGCTGTATAGAACATTCTTTTTCGTGTTTTTTTTTTTTTTTAAGGGAAGTTTACCACTCTGCATGTGTCGGTACTAGCAAGCTCAATGAATGCAGATTAACCAAAGCCCAGATGTTTTTCCACCTTAAATATTTTTGACCACACATACAAACCACGTTAAAGACAGATTGATCATTTCAGGATGGGATTTGCTATGTATTGTTTTGTTCTTTTGAAAACAAAGTGCTCATCAAACATGTTATTCATAGGTTACCTTTTTTACATGCAGTATGTATGATAGCTTTCAGAAATGCTATGTAATACCAAAAATAGTGTGGAGATATGCAATTGAACGCATGTGATGAACAATGGGTTCACTCATGGTGACGTGTTAAGATAACCCCCGTCTCTTTCACAACAACCTAACTTAAAAACAGCCCAAATTTTGAGAAAATCGAAAGGACCAAGGCACAGTTGGAAAAACTCAAGCAGTTCTGTCAAAATCATTACAACGCCTCCTCCTGTTCTTCATAAACCTCAATACTGCACACTTTATTCAGGACAATCCCCCTTTTTTTCCATCTCTCTACACTATGAATCCCACAAAGCCATGAGAAACCAGTTAGCCATTTGACATAAGTGTCATCCAGCTGTTTCACAGTTCCACAATGGGACATGAGAAAATCAGTGCTCATTCAGCTTGATCGGACTCTCTGGTCTCTTGTCGCTGGCAGAAGTTGTTTGGTCATGAGTCAGACCTATAATTAACTTTTGATAAGGATATTGAAATGTGCCAACTTGATTAAGAATAAATTAGTTGTACAGACTAATCCCTGGAGAATGCTCTGCCTTGTCTGTATCTCTTTTCAATGGGTTTTTCAGCCACGGTTCCACACCTGGACAAATGTCCTTTTCTCAGCTTAAAGTATGACTTGTAGTTCTAATAAATTCACTCCTCAGCTCCCGTCATGCTGCATTAGCTGTGTGAAGGGCAGAGCGACAAGACTGGCTGTCAGAAATTGGTTATACAGAGTTACTGCAGCGTGCCATTATTACTCTGCCTCGTAGAATACAAGTCTTCTCTTCTGCAAGAAACTCTGGCTGGGTTTTACTGGCTAAGTCACACACAGACTGGTGACAAATGTTAAATGTAAGGTGAAACCAGCATGAAAGGTCTCCAGAATTATTTTAACAAGCCTCGCTAATGCTTTGCTTTCTGAGTCTGCTGGAGAATGAAACGTCATTCTTTCACAAGATGTCCGTTTGTTTGGTGTATTGGAATTAGAAGGTAAAAAATATAAAACAGATGGTTCAACTTTGTTGAGATCAGATGATTGACTCAAGAAAAATTTCACAACTTGATTATCAGTTCGAAAGGAAATCACGGCCTTTTTTTTTTTTTTTTCTATTTTGTCTTCAGAATTTGGATTTTATTTTTTTTTCCCCTTTGGTCAGAATTTTGACTTTTATCTCAGAACTCAGACCTTTTTTTTTTCTTTTTTTTTTTTCCTTATAAATATGAAATTAAAGCCAAGATTCCAAATTGAGAGGAAAAAAGTATGAATTTTGAAAAAAATAAAAATAAATAAATCCACCTTAGACCTACTCATTTTCTGTAAACCAGGGACTTCTGAAATGTCACAGTTTAAACTTAATCAGTGGCATTTAAACTGTTACCCATATTTATTTATTTATTTAAAAAAAAATCTGCCTTCAATGAGCCTTATTGCAGTGCCTTTTTATCAAGGTTAGTTTGGGGGTATGTGATCATTGTCATCTTGCTCTTTTGTTTGTCAAAAAAAAATTACATAAAACTTTAGAGCCAAATTTAATCTGTTGGAGGATAAAAATAAATAAAACAAACTCACTGCAATTAAAGTATCATTAAGAATGTAATTGACCTTTGTGGTTAAAATACTGTTTGGGTGCTTTTTAATCCAGATGCGTCTCATAATATTCAGGAATGTCAGATGCTTGGTTTATTGGCTGTGTACATGGAAATACCTTCTTGCTATGCGTTTTTACGACTTATTTTTATTTGGTATGCCACCTGCCTGAACTTTACAGGATTTTATCATAACATTTCTTTTTATATATATATTTAAATTAAGTTTCTTCCGAGACATGAAAGCCAACACAAATTGCATTAAGAAAAGGTTTATTTTAGCACATCTAAGGTCACTGTGTTTGTTTTACAGACCCACAAATTCACTGCTATGGCTCAATAAAGATTTTGTAGTTAGATTATACACTGTCAGTTTCAGCTTATACATAATTATCATGAAAACAACCCAAAAGACTTGAAATAAAATCCAAAACAAGGTCTTGGATTTTAAGTTAATTGTCAAGTTAGGTTATCCGACTCTTGGGCAGCATGGATGCCAGGCAGAACTCCTCCCCGAGCGATGGCCAATTCTCCCAGCAGCCTGCCAAGCCCCTCGTCGCCATGGCTGCAGGTGCCGGGGATGATCTCGGTGCTCCGGCTGTCACAAGCTGTGCTTCCCGCTACCACCAAGATCTCGGCAGTCAGGAACTCAAGCACTGCCTGCAGGTGGACTGTAATGCATCCACGGCACCTCCTTTTTAACTCTTTCGGAATTTGGGGTTGTAGTTGAGGTATTATTTGAGCTTTTTAGATGTAAATCAGCAGCTCCCAGTTGTAGAAAACCACCTTGTTGTAATGGTTACACAGCAAAACAAATGTCCAAAAGTATAAAAAAAAAAAGTTTCAGTAAAAATCCTTCCAGCTGCACAACAACCGATACCAGAGGA